GTGTGTGTGTGTGTGTGTGTAAGTGAACGGGGGATGGGGTGCGCGCGATCAAGCTCGCAAGCACATAAACCGACGAGGGGCTTTAGAAAGCCGGTGTTTTTCTCCCATTCCCAGTGGCGCGTAAGATATCCTCGAGGAATCAACCGGAAGTTCACGGAGGAACATTTTATTATGATTAGAAAAAATCCCACAGTTGATAACACGAAAATTGAAAAATAAGAAATGGGTCAGTGAATGTGTCACGTGTGATGCTTGTCCACACGTGCTCAGTGGCAATCACCTCTGCGAAATTATCTACATGATCATGCAACCCATGAGAGAGAGAAAACACGCAATTTCCACTAACGTTTCCTTTGCCACAGTCGATTGTATGCTTCATCAAGAAGCATCGTGATGAAACAGTTCGCCAGAGAGATTTGTTTCCGCTCGACAGGCTAACCCCACTTCGAAACAACATGAAGCTAGCTCGCATCGATCTATGGAACAAGACGTTGAAGATTCCCTTGGATAGCACATCTCTAGCTTCTAAGCACTGCTCTGGTCTGGTCAGATAGGAACATTATTGATGCGTTGGTTCTAGCTCATGATATGTGCACCAGTTCATCTAGGAATTGCACAGACGGAAAACAGTCAACTGTCACACACACACACAAACGGTCCAACACAGACAGCGTAGTTCATTTCAAAGCACTAGTTGAACAAAACACTGACCACTTGGTGAGAGTTGAGACTGTCCCCGCCGACCGATTGGGGAAAGTGCACAAGTGGAAACTATTAGATAAGAGAAGAAAAACTTAAAACTTAAAATTCCCGTTCCCTTGTACGACATACTATAGTACTCATCTACAAGAGTCTGAACACAATTACGTGAACCGGTTGTACGCCATCGATTTGGTCAACCATTGGTTGTACTTGCCATGCAGATCTTTGCACTGAAAATGTGTATGGATGGGAGAGAGGGGTAGGGAACTGCCTCCCATTGAACCCGGAAAGCAGCATAATTCACCAGAATGTAAATCAGCACCTTTGCACCAGATTCGAATGATGAATATGACCTTCGAGCATGCTATCTTCCATCAAGTGAACTGAATATTGTCTCATGCATATGTAATTAGCCTTGACATCAAATACAGAAATGTGACATTACTGCCCTTCAAATGCAGCTTACAGTTCCCAGCAGCTTCATGGCACACACACACACACTGCACTAAATCACTCAAAGAGGACGGTTCCTTCCATATCAGTGGTTTGTTAATCAACGGTGCGTTCACCGTTGGAAAACATTACCAAACGTTCTAAGGAATCCCTGAATTGGGGTGACTTTGTTCAATAACCGGTATCCCTTCAAAGAGGTACTCGGAAATGGTTTTCCGTAATGGTGCTCAAGGGCACTCCACGCAAAATTATACAAACTGTCAGGTTATGAAAGTTTCCAACCGCAACATAACCCCGGAGGCTGATGCTGAGATGAATTATGCGCGATGCTCACAACAACTTCTCAAAGATATGTCGCGCTACATCGTGTAAATGGAAAATGAAAAACGGTCTGAACAGCACTGCCCGGTGGCCGAGTGGATTGTGTGCTTACGTTGTACCTGTGACGTTGGAAAGATTTCGAGGTCCTAATACCCAGGTTATATATAAAACATCCAGGTGTGCCTAGTGTATTATGACGTTTGCAGTATACCGTGGTCTGCCAGACCGCCTTATCCTAATTCCATCAAGTACTGTTGACATTATTTCATATGAAAATAAAGGAAAAGTTGAAAACCACCATAACCAGTAAAAACTGAAGGTTGAACTTAAAAGGTATTTGAATCAAGGTTATCAAAGTTTCATAATCTTTCAGTAGATTAGGCAACGCAGTTTCCCTGCATTTCTTTTCGTTTACTGAATACACTTCATAGTTTGCATGGATGACACTCGTCTAGTCTCCCCCGAAATCGTTGGATCAATTCCAGGCTGTTAGAGGAATTTGTAGGTGATTAGTCCGGATGAAGAGGAAAACCTCAAATGCTTAGATGGACGCATTATCTGACTTGAACTGATTCCTGAAAAGTAGACCCAGGAAGCGATACTCATCTGGCGGTAAAGGTTACCAGCTTATCAATCCCCGACATCACCCAACTATCCTCATTACTATGTGTGTGTGTTTTGTAACCTTCCCTTAGACCGGTCGCTTCACCCTTCTGATTGATATTGTTTGTATCATTATATAATTGGACAAAGTAAAGTTAAAAACCGATCCTGACTCTGACATTTCTCCATGGTTTTATGCATTTCAGCTCGTATTATTCCGTTCAGTCGCGCT